TCAACAGTTACAGATTAGCATGTACACAGTGAGTCAGCATGACTCTGGCATCTGGGAAGGGAACCTTATCTTCAAAGGAGTACTGGCATTGGTATTATAGGAAGAGAGGATTTTAAGGGCAAAAACGGCAAGGTTACATTTAGTTCTATGAGCTGTTTATCAAGAATTATAATTGGAACTGGCAAAAAGTAAGGGTACATTAAGTAGGGATTGGTTGGGGTCCTGAATGGTTGTTTAGTCATGAGGGGGAGACCTGAGACCACAAGGTTGCAGTTGGCAGGTGTTGTTCGGAATACGACCTTGGGCCTGGTACAGTTCCAAGAAAGTTCAAGTACTCAGAGGGGCAGAGGTGTGTCTGAGACCAGATACTCAATGGCCACCCGACTCCACTTTTGTATGCCTGAACCCTGATTACTCCACTATAATTTCAATTTGTCATCACTGGCAAAGCTTAATTAGAAGATAACAAAAAGCTACAAAATTTGCCTTCTTAAGAGGACCAAGGAACCATAGATGCCATTATTTGTCTGTTGAAATGGCATTGCCTAGTGAATGTGCCACAAAAACTTCAGGTTACCTCTTGACCTCTTGTTTTGGATAAGCCAGGCTCACAGGGCAGTCCTGGCCCCCAACGCATGCAGCTACTCACTGATGCTGGCCTCCTTTTCCATCTGCTAGCAGATGCCATGACCAACCAACAGGCAGCTAATGGCTCTAAGTGATCGACCCCAATTGTTACATGTCTCCAAAGGAGGTGACCCCATCTTGGTTTCATCTGTAATGTAGTTTTATAAAGCAAACTGTAAGAAGACTTCACTGATACACATCCAGGCTGTTGACCCATCAATCCTTGATTCATCAGTTCCACAAGAACACGGAAATGGAGGCCCAGGTGGAGACTGCTGAGGAGTTTGTCTCGGTGAGAACTTGAAGATCGTGAGAGCCAAGTTCTACCTCTGCCCAAAGGATGCCACTCAGCCCATGTGACCAACATCCTGCAGGCAATCTCTCCCTGGTCATCTGAGAGGCCCTGGCAGCCAGTCTGCCAAGCTTGCTCATGAAGGGGAAGGGATCAAACAATGAGGAGCAGGCTGATGGTGAAGCAGGTCCAGTGGCTTTGAAAGAACAGATCTGACCACTGTCTCTGCAGGAGCACTGTGGAGACCAAGAGATTATGGACCTGGAAATGACCAAATGCCATAAAAGAATTGGCAATCATGAGTAATTATCCTGGTTAAAATGCCAACTATTAGACTGTAGATTCAGGTCACTTTCAACAGGTTCTTCTTTACGTGTTTTTATAACATAGCAGATGGTGCAGAAATCTTGGTTTCCTATCACCTTGGGGTTCAGCTCTGAGAGGTGAAGGGGTAGTGACTGTATTTTATATGAACTTTCTCAACTGCACCTATTTCTAAGACAATAAAACTACGCAAAAAATTTGAACAGACACTTCACGAAAGAACAGAGACTTCATTTTTGGCTGTTACAAATAATGCTGTTATTCATACTAACACTAGATTCAGAGTATTTAAATCAGAAAGAAGTTAAAGTACAGGATAAGAGGTTAGGGACAGGAGAGAAATAAGAGTAGTCAAAAGAAGTGCGGTGGTCTGTCTTGCTAGATTTTACTTCCCTCTTCTTGAGATCAGGCTTGGCCATGTGACTTGCTGGTCAGTGGAAGGGGAGTGGAGGTGGTGAACATACCCAGGCAGAAGTTCTAAGAGCCCTGACGTGGGTCTCCATGCTGGGTCTCTTCTGCCCAAAGCGTGATGGCGTTCCTGACAGAGTGTTCTCTGTCAGCCATGGCTCTGTGCTACAATGCCAACCCTCCAGGAATTTATAGTTATAAGAGCAAAGTGTCAATAATATTGTTTTGTCTAGTAAAGGTTTTAAGCAAGACAAATGATGATATCCCTAGGTAACAAATGGATATGGTAAACCAGTAGTTTGGACATCGTGTCCACCCATTATTTTTTTTTCAAACCCTCCTCTTACATCTTCACCCCCATGCCCCCGATATGGACAATCAGAAACTTGGTGTTCACCTCTGACTCTTCTCTGTGTTCCACACAATTCATCAGCAAATCTGCTTGATCGATTCCTTTAAAATAAACCCTAAATCTCACCACCTCTCACATCTGTTTCTGGGACCCAGAGATCAGGGTGTTGGAATCAAGAAGCCCCGACTACCATGGCTGCTGCCCCAACAGCCTCCTGCACCTCAGGGAGCTGGGGAACCCACACCAGAACGCACTCTGGAGATGCTCATCTCTAGGATGCTGCCTGACAGCAGAAGACTAGCCAGCGCAGAATGGAAAACCACCCTCCACCCCACTTTTGCTTCCCAAATCGTTCCTCCTGTGAACCCATACACTTCTCCTCTGCCATGTACAGGCATCAGCTTCCTTTGGTACATTCTTGTGACTGTCTTGTCTCACTAGATTGCTAACTCAGAGAGGGATCATGTGTCCCCATCTTTTTCTGTTCCCCAACAGCATCTAGAATGCTGTCATATAGTGCATAACTGCCACTAGGAACAAAGAACTTCTCTAGTCTGCTATATGGCTCAGAATCAGCTTTCTTAATCCTTTGGAGATTAGCACCCTCTTCTTCACAGCTAGACTCATAACTAGGTTTTAGAGCTGATTCTTACCTACATTTTGGAAGTTGATGATTTAGAGCATGACAAAAATAAATCAAAATCCATCCATCTTAGTTTAATCCTAAGAAGCTGTTCGATTGTGAACTTTTGGAAACAACCTTAAATGCTCTATGTAAGTATACCTAGGTTTCAGGAAAACATCTGTCCAATTTTGGGGAGGTCCACAAATCTACACAAGTTCACTGACTTTTATGTCACATTATATTTATGAATACTGAATGATAAATTGATCTGACAAGAGAAAAAGACATTTCTGGTATTAAATGCCAAACTATAAATCAAAATAGCTAAATGGCAAAGTAGTAATGCTCTTACAAATATATATGGAAATACTTATTTGCTCTATAACATTTTATTATTCTCTTTTATGGTTTTTGTGATTGTAAACTGCAACAAAGTTTCCCTTTCATAGTATTAGCTATTCTACTGGCTCCTAAAATAAAAAATTCCTGATTTCTCCCTGCCAGTACTGCCTCTATGTACACACAAGAAAACAGAATTATAATTGAAAAAGGAATATTTTATGGTCTTAATTTCTCACTTGTGACAACATTTTTGGACATTCTCTGTTTTAGTCTCTCCACCTGGAATTTACAAGCTTAAGAGTTAATATTTGAATTGTTGTGACTTCAGTGTCTAATCCTAAACCCAGGGATAAATTCAAATAATCTTCAAGAGACTGGAAGCAAAATACACAGTACAAAGTTTCCAAAAAAAAAAATTAACTGCAAAATTGTCTTCTTCTTGAGACTTTCTGCAATTGAAAGCAAATAGTGAAGAGAGATGTAAGATATCAGAAGTCAGAAAAAGCTCTACGACTACCTTAAGCCCAGAATAACTCCTACATTAAAGCGTGGAAAACTGAACTTTAAGGCTGAGGCTTCTGCTGCACAGCACAGTAACGTCTCCCTGTCTGGTACTCCCTTTCACAACGCCTCTTTATTTGGTGTAGTTAACAAGGACAGTCTTTTAAAAAGCCCTTTCCATCACAAAGGATTTCATTTGTATAAGAAGTGGGAGACACCCTAATTAAGCCCACTGATGTTGTACTGTGTACAGAAATGTTAGGTACTTGATTCAAGTCAGCTTGGCGACCTCATTTTTTCCCCTAACTACTTTCTAGTCTTACTAACATAGTATTGACTAGAAAATTAGAAACAAAAGGAGTGCTAGGAACAAACACTCAGTTACAAGAAAAGCCAGCAAAAACACAATTCCAGAAAAATGCAGGTATGGGTCACTTAAAATAGGAGGGAAAGAATTTACAATAACCATAAATTACCAAGGAAAACTCAAATGTTGTAATATATTCTAAGAATAAAATATAAAAGGGTATATGATCCACTTAACACTTTCATCAAAACAGTTGAAATAAAACCAATATTAGTTTTTTTTGTTTGTTTGTTTTTTTAAGTTAAGCTTTAGTTATCTATCATATTTATTTCACAAAATATGTTCTCTTCCCTGGGACTGCCAGAAAGTTAGGAGGCCTGCAACCGAGTAAGAGCTTCTCACCCTTTACTGACAGAAAAGATAACACAGGCTTACAGGGAAGAAATATGAATTTGAAATTCCCACCAATTTTATGTATTTTACATAAAGCCTCTTGAGATCTAAAATGTACATGTCACTTAATGGTATGTTGCATGGCTCCTTGTTGAATCTGATATGCCGATTTAAAGTTACCTAAAATTTATGAATCTAGTAACATTCAATATAAATATTCTAGAGTTTACTTTTGAAATCTGGATTATTTTGACAATGCCCCCAAAATCATATTAAAGGATCTATGATCTGAATTTTTTAAAGTATATAATGAGACTATAATTAGGACAATCTGGGACAAGATTCATGTTTGATAAGAGAGAACAGTACTTTTCACACTGTACCACACAGATGGATTTTTTTTTTACCTTTAACTGTTTGAAATGTTTGCAAAAAGCAAAATGCTCTAACAATGAATAATAAAAAATACATAATAAAACATGCAATCATAAAAAAGTTCTGAAAATTTAGGAACAAGTACAAATTTGACTTAAGATGGTCAGGAGTCTTTTTATGGCAACCAAACCTTCTATGGCTGTTTTTGTAAAAGGTGAGGTAAAACATTCGATTTCCCCAGATTACCAATCCTTTCACTACAGCTCAGACTCATAGGGCTTCACTGCAGCACTTATTACTGCGGCTTCAATTTTATTTTGGAAGCAAAACCTCCACAAGTCTAACCATACAACGCCATCCCTGCTTTACAGTGCATTATAAAGACGGATACTGCACTTTAGGAACTGAAGTGTGTTGTGTATTTCCATCTCAAAAACACCCACAAACTACAATAGATATTTAAAATCTTTATTGTTTCATCATCAAAAGTTTTCTTTCCATAGAAGAATGGCAACGCAGGATCAGTGCATATTCTATGGAAAAGTCATACCCCAAGTAACTAGCCTAGAAACCAAAGACAGCACTACGTCAAGCTCGTGTGCAAAGTCCGAGACACAATGCTGCCAGTGCGATTAGTAGACAGAAAGAGTATGAGCTGCTAGAAAAGGAGTCTGTGGCAAGGAAATCAAACAGTAGCAGTGCACCGCACTGACACTCCAGAACAGAAAATGGGGAGGACCAGAGAACGCACCCTCTCCAGGAGATCACAGGCACTGAGTTCCCAACTGTGTCGCCAGCTGTCTAATCCACTGCTCCGCACCTTCCTCTTTCAGTCGACCACACTAACACTGTGAGCCACTCTCAGCCTGTGTGTAAGTGTGATGGCCACACAGCCACGTGCACGCCATGTCACTCTGCTTCCCGTCTCATGGCTAAAAGTAACAGCGCGGTTTGGGCAATGAAACCTGTGGCCTTTAGGCATCTTTAGCAAGAAGCCGAACAAACCCACAACTTGTTCCCATTTTTTGGAGAAACCAGCTTTACAGAACAACAAAAGATAGCTGTCATGATTACTCAGTTTTGTCTGAAGGCAAAACAATTTTTACGTAAGTACACTGAATAAACATACAAACGAGGTCCTTAACAAAATACTGTCAGACCAACTTGAACATTTTCATAATGAGCTCCTGAAAGAAGTACTGGTAATTGTGAGGTGCAAATGACCACTATGATTTGATCATGCCTGGTTACCGGGAATTTTTTGGTCAGGTTTGTGTCTGAAGCTGCAATACAGCTGGATTTGGCTACTCTGCATTAATTCACACAATAAAGGCCATTTGTAAAAGGAAACAGCAGATCTATGAGGATGAAATAAAAATCAAAACAGTTGAGAGATATACAGGAAACTTGTCTTAGATATTTTAAAATTACATATGATATAACCTTAGGGAATAAGAACTACAATTACTGTGGTCTAAATCTTGAGTTGTTAATACATGAATCATCGGCAAGACTAACAAGTGACTTGTCAATCACGTCAAGGCCTTGCGGGGTGGGGGACACTCGATTGCATGATGTAGCGGTCACTTTCCGGGTGCATTAAACACCTCTAATTTAATGTGTTATTCAACTATATTTGAAAAGTTATTTCACTTCATATATACAACGTATGAAATAAGTTAAAAGGAGGAAGCGGGGAAAGGTTTTCCGGTTTGTAGGATGCAAACACACAACTTTCCCATGTCAGCAGTAGTTTCGTGTGTGTCCCTTTACCCATGTAAAACATGAAAGGCTGAAAAAAGATCAAAAAGTTCACTTATAAATAGAGACAGGATTCAAAAGATGGAATTTCAACGTCGTTTCTTCCCACAATGCAACTCACTCTACTTCAACTATAATGAACATAAATAAAAACCATATCTCAAAAATCTGTTTTTACACCCTTACCTTTAACAACACTAAATTCTTCTAAAAATTGAGAAGAAAAGCACTCCATAAGCAAGTCCATAAAATAATTTTCCATTCACAAAACACCTGTTCACCGGTAAAACCAGCAGCCCTTATGGAGGGCACGACATTAATACTTGGCCCCTCTGAGGTATAAATGCAGCTATATTTGCACTGAGTATATAGTCTATAAGGTATGCTAATGGTCTGCATGTTTGCATAAAATTGGGAGTGATGTCATCCTGACTGATTGAAAACTTATTTTTATAACTTTGTGTAATAATGGAGGTTAAATAATTTCGAGAAAAAAAGATGTACTTTAGCCTAGTAACAGCTAGCAGAATTCTATTAACCAATGGTTATTACATTTAAAAAATGTTTAACATTGCATATTGATTAAACAAAAAACTGAACAGGGAGGACACATAAATATTTAAATTCAGCAGGACACCACAAAAAGCATACTAGAGATAAGTGTGAAATCAGTCAAGCTTTTCCAAAAGAAAAAATCCTTTTAATCCTTTAGCAAGTCTCTGTGAAATAGTATGCTTACAATAAAAGTGACAAGGGAGCACCTAGAATACCCCCAAGAGGCTTGCTACCCCGCTCAGCATTACTGCCCATCTCCTGTGCGCACAGATGGCCAAGAAATGACAAGTCCACTTGACAAGAGTTCAGTAATTCCTTTCACCACTGCTGCCAGCTGAAGTCGTCATTGCTTCCAAAGACCAAGAAAAAGCCCAGGATAGTTGCAAAGATGACCGTGTTTCCCGTGAGAACAAGTGCACAAGCTCCCCACTCGATCTACGGACGTAAGATAGAAACGCTCAGTTAACAGACGTAGGGAAAAACAGAAGGAAACGAACAGCGAATTACGGCTCTAGTTATCCGCCAATCATGATCTAAGACACATACAACTCGTCACCGTAACTGTGACACGACTGAAGCCTTAATGGTACTTCTACATTGCTGTTTTTATTTATCTCTGGCCCCTTTAAGGAGACAGAAAGTCATAGAAGATGATAATTATTCAAAAGCAAGCTTGACTTCTGGGCTATGAAGAGGCAGCACAGAATTCTACAATTTTCTGTTTACAAAGAAATTTGCTCCAACTCTTCCTTACTAAACCTAAGTTTTATCTAGAGAGCAGATTAAAATATCAGAGATGTGAACACACTCGTGTCCATTTTCTTTAAGAGGCAGGGGGCATGTCATGGCCCTCTCCATGTGGAAGGCTGGCAGGTCTCTGGCTTCTCTGCCATGTCTACCTCCCCAAGGATGGAGGAGCGAGCGTGACTGGTGAGTCTGTGAGGCCCCTTCTACTCTCTGGTACTTTCCCACCTGCAGAGAACACAAGAGCTCCTTAGGTCTTCTGTGTTTTCAGCTGTACGGGGACCAGCCTATGGCTTCAGCACTGGGTAAGTCCATGTGCCCAATTCTGAGAGTGAAGTTGCTGCCAATGCTCTCCAATTATTTCCACCAGTTACCAAATATAAACGCAGGATTTTCATCTCTATCCTCAAGGCTCCTATGTCTCTTACCTCTTTTTCATGTTATTTACCAAAACCTTTTTTTTCTGAGAAAAATTTAACACAGTCTAATGTAAAATTGTTAGTAGAAGAATGCTTTCACTTACCAGACTTGCTCTGGCAAATACAATAGGGAGTCCAAAAGCTGAGACCACAATGCCTGTTGTAAGAAATATGGCAAGTTCCTTACAGGCGTTACTCATGGCATCTGTATCATCCACTAATCTTCTTGCTATGCAGTATGGAATAGGTGAAAGGATATAAAAAAACAGAACAAAGAGGGGCCAGTATTGGCTAGAAAAAGAAAAATAAGTTAATGTAGTTTTTGCTATCTTTGTCATTTTCCTACACACAAAATATGCTTTTTAAAAATAAGGACTGAAGCATACTGCAAGGTACAAAATATGATACAGTTTAAAAATAAGCTATAACCTGAACACTGAAATGAGAAACATTTAGAGTCACAGTATTCCTAAAAGTCAATTATGATACGATGATTAACTATTTCTTAAAATAAAAGGAAATGCTTTATAAATTATAACAAAATCAAAGCCCCAAATTAAAAATATATTTTTCATTTTAGGTTATAAATAAAGAGGTATATGAAAAATGGGATCACTAACACAGTACTTTTAAACAATTTTTATTTATTTTACTTTTTGTGGGGAAGGGAGGTAACTAGGTTTATTTATTTATAATTAGAGGAGGTACTGGGGATCGAACCCAGGACTTCCAGCATGCTAAGCATGTGCTCTGTCATTTAAGCTATAGCCTCCCCCCACTAACACAATACTTTTTAAAATTCAAGGTTCATGCCCTTGACTTCTACTATCCTGCCTCAGCATGAAGCTGGAACACCTGCAAACTTAGCTCAGGTCCCAAGGAACTCCCAAAATACTGAAATCAAAATACAGAAAATGAACTGAAATATTGAAGATTATCACTCAGAATATCAAATTTATCACAATAAAAATAGATGGCTTTTAGTCTGCAGTCTAGCTATTGTGTTTTGTCAATGTCATTTCCTGTTTTTGATAATATAAAACAGTTACGTAAGATATTACCCCTGGGAGAAGATGTGTGTACAGGGGACTTCTCCGTACTGTTTTTGCAACTTCTTGAGAGTCCATCAACATTTCAAAATAAAAGGTGAAAAAGAAATAGATGGCTTTTAAAGGTACCATAAAATAAAATGCATAGCAGATGGAGATTTGTCTGCATTCAGAGGCTTTTGTGATAAGCAAAGCTTTATCTATATGTTTTCCCTAAAAATCTAGCCCTAAATGTTTTGAGAATTAGAAAAATTACAAGTAGACATATCCTTAAGGAAAAAAACATGCAAAAAATACAAAGCACAGGAAGTGAAAAATCAACATTGCCCATGTCTTCATGTTTTCCCTACTTTCTCTTATCCATGCTCCAACTGATGTGGATTCTCCCTTTTAACTTTAAAAAGATGAATGAATCGCTGCACTTTTTCATTTAACAACATTATCTTGAACATTTTACATATTAGCAATCACAGCTCTTCCTCATTCTTTTTAAGACTGCCAAATATTTCCATTGATGGATGTACCATAATTTACCACTTTCCTTTTGACAGACCTTTAGGACACTTTCAGTGTTTTTTGCTATTAAAAACAAGGCTGCCATGAACATCCATACTCTCCCCTGACTATACATATCTTGGCAAACATCTGCAAGTAGATTTGTATGAGTAATTCTAACAAGTGGAAGGGCTAGTTCAAAGAATATATACATTTTGAGAGCTATAAGCAAACTCGTCTCCAAGAAGACGTGCACCTATTTAAACTTCCACCCACAGTACATGACAATGCTTGTCTGCTCAAATCTTTTATGTTTCCCAATGGATTTCATTTAATGTTGAGTGAGGCTGAGTATATTTTCACGTGCTTATTAGCAATTTGCAGCTTTTTCTTATTTGTTGTTCAGTTTTCTATTGAGTTGTCTATATTTTTCTTACTAATTTATCCTATTAGTTTTTAAAAGTTCTTTTTATTCTAAGGAAAGTAATTGTTTACATGACTTTTTTTTCTTAATTAGTTGCTTTAAACTTCACTTACTATTATTATTATTATTTTGCTGAAAAGATATTATAAATTTCTTGTATTTAATTTAATCAATAGGTTCTCAATATGGAGTAGTAGTGCTGGGCTTCTGTGTTGCTAGCCTGCCATTACATTAGACTTAGCAGTAGACAAGGGACAACAGCCGAAGTCTGTTTTGCACCCTGGTGTCCTAAAATCTTTTAAAACAAATTTTAAGTGAAGACTTATAGTTTTTCCTTGGTAAATGACCACTTCTCGGGGCTACTTCTATTGTAGTAAAAAAAAAAAAGAACTAAAGCTTTAAAACTAGAAACATTTTACATTTAAATACTCAAACAGACAAAAAATTGTACTTACTTGTATATTGGAAGGGCACATCCAAGCATCAAAAACATCAGCCCAATTGCTCCTCCAAAGGACAAACTAATCAAAGCTGTTGAATAGAAATAGCAATTAAATTAAATTAATATTATTTTTATTAATGTTACTATGAGCAATCTGAACATTACCTGTGATACCGGAAGCAAAAAGCAAAATGAAACACACCAAAAAAGTAAACATATTAAGAGCAAGTTATCTTTAAAAGCTGAAGTCATATGGTCTCAGAGTAAGTCTTTGGTGGCATCTTCAAAGCAAAACAAACTGATGTTGATTTTTAAAGTCCTGACCTATTGCTGGCACATCACCACTTTCCTAAATTACTGGTTCCATTTCCAATGAGCATCTGAGTCTGTGAGATCAATGCTCCTCCAGACATTAGTATGACATTTTCTCTACAGATCATCACAGTTTTGAAAAGCAGTGTGTGGAGAAACTCCACAGTCAGGTTTATTGACTTGAGCAGCCTCCTCTACAGAAAACCTCTCCTGATCAGCTCCTGCTTCTTGCACATATGCTCCTAATGTCCACAGATAAAAAGTGCCCAAGGATATTCGCAGTCAATAATCTCAATCAATTAATTTTGTTACAGATCCTTAAACAGTGTGTAACGATAGCTGGGTTTCTTTCCCTAATCTCCTACATGTTAGAAAACATGCAGGATAATGGATACAGTCCTTCTGTGGTATCACTATTTTAGGATATTATAACCAACAATGTATGCATTCTACAGGTAAAATACAGAATAACTTATGTCTTTTTTTAAAACCTTAACAGAAATGTTAAAATTCAAGAGTTGCTGAAGGTCTGCAAGTTACCAAGACAAAAATCGAACATATACAAACCAAAATTAACAGTAAAGGGGTTAAATGCTGCTCAGTCCTACTGACACACTTCTCTGAATTAAAATGGTCACAATCAAGGACACCCACGGACGTGGGAACTGGGCAGTTATCATTCAGCTCACTGATGCAGGTCACATCAACCCTGAACACATTTACTCAGTCCTTCACGCCCCTAGACTTTCAGTTCACAAAGAAAAGAAAAAGAAACACCTGCACTTTAATTTATGGCAAATGAGGAACTTTACCAGGGAATGAGTTGTAAACAGTGAAGAAAATACCAAGTTTACCATGTGTTTTGTTCTGTTCAAAACAAGTCCTCATACTCTGGCTCTGATGACTTGAGTGGACACATATCACCCTGGGCCAGCATCCTGGTCTCTGCAGTCCAGCTGCATGGGCCTCTTCCTCTCATTTCCTGGAAACCAGCTGGCTCCCGCATCCATCTGGACTTTGCACATGCTGTCCCCTCTACCTCAAGCACTTTTTCACTCATTCATTTCACTCAAGAAATGTCCAGAGAGACCCAAACATGTAACAGGTGCTGAGGACATGTTAATAAATGAGGCAAGGCCATGTGGCACTGACAAGAGCTTGTACTCTGGCCCCAGTTCTTGCCTCTTTCCGCCAAGTGGACTACTCTTCCTTCAGATCTCAGACCAGTCACCTCTTCCTCCTGAACTTTCCCCAAACCTCCTGAATAGACCAATTCTCTCTATTGTGTTTATTTATTCACTCATTCAGCAAATTAACTACAGAGTGCCTAAAGTGTGTTGCACACCGTTCTTGGCACTGGAGACAGAGCAATGAAAATAAATCAAAGCTCTTGTTTTCATGAAGCTCAAAATGATTTTTTAAAAAGTAAACAAATAAATGTCAAATGCTATGAAAAAACTCAAGTACAGTAAGAGGGTGGGAGGGCTATTCCAGACACATTGGCCTGGAAGGCGTCTCTGAGCAGAGGTGACATTTGAGCAGAGATCTGTATGAAATGAAGACATGAACCAATCACGTGGCCACCTGTGGGAAGCACTCCAGGCAGAGGGAGGTGTGCAGGCATAGGCCCTCTCGGCTGTGTGCACTCCCCATGCTCGTTTACCACAGCTGCAGTGTTACACTGATTTATATTGGTCTTTCCGTCTAAGCTGTTCATGCCACAAGAGCAGGAAAAAAGTTGTTCTGTTGTTGATGATGCTCAGGGCCCAGCTCTTAACGCACAATAATAAATATTTGTAGAATGAATGAAAGGAAAAGGGAAAAGAGAGAGAGAGAGGGAGATGGAAAAAGAGAACAGAAGAGAAGAGAGCCCAACGTCAAAGGGCAGAAAAAAACACATAACTGAGAGTCAGGAGGCAGTAGGTCCTCACTCCTACTGGCCCCTCACTGGCTAGGTAAGTTATCTCAGAGCTGGTTCTTTCTTCTATAAAATACAAGTTGGACTAGATCTAAAAAGCAAGTAACTCTCAGAACACTAAAGATACCTGTTACAAGACATGCTGAAGAAGTGAAAAACTACCTCTACTTTTTGAGATATAATTGCCAAAGAGCTAAGTTCATTATTATAACAACACCTTATTTATTCAAGCCATTTATCCAGAATATAGCTTAGACTCCTGAAGGAAAAAAAGAGAAAATAAATGTCACAAAGCCCATACACTGATGCTAATACTCTTTATAAACAAACACTTAGGCTCTTATTCAGAAATTATTTTTTTTTTGTGACAATTGTGTGCGAATTCCAACAGAATAAAATCTTTTTATTTTAAAAAACATCTATGCTCATTTATATATATATATATTTCAATAGGCAATTAGTGTACCCAGAACAAAGTTAAGTGAAAAGTAACTTGTCAACACAAGATACAGATAATAGTTACTGTTACCTGTATCTTGTCATGACAAAATTTTCTAAGCTTATTTTGTTTCCCATATTGAAACAAATGAGAAATAGGAAGGAGGGCTGCATACAAGCAAGAACTATCCTCTGGAGGGAGGAGACTGAGGGGGAAAAAAAGGTTAAATCAGGCATAAAAACATGAAAAAGTATTTCAAATTTGTGATCATCTTGGCCAAGAGATAAGTAGCCTTAGGACTCAGTTGCTGAGGTTAACTTTGTTCTATGATAGAGAACAATTACTTATGTCTTATTACCAAAAAAAGAGTCTAAATTCTTTAAGTATACTCTTAAAAAGTTAATGAAGATGATTTCTTTTTTTAAAAGAACTAAAATGAGATAAGATTCAGGTATCAAAAAGTAATTTTATGTGACATCTGACCTCCCAGGCATACTAGATAAGATAAATAGCCAATGAGGTTGAATAAACTGCTCAAAGGTGTTCTCAAAAGTTGTAAAGTTTCTCCAGTCTTACGAAATCAGTAACTAGGCTGATTTACAGACAAACTTCATCATTTGTGTATAAATGGTTGTCCTAGATGACACATCAACCAGGCAACATTTTATATTGTAATTGAGTGATGCAACATTGGGAAGGCAAAACTTAGATGAGTCTGACTTTCACTCCCCAAACCCCCAGGCTAGGGATGGAACAGCCCAATTATCTATCTTCTCAAGAGACTGGGTGCTGGTTCTGTGATTACAAAGAGATTAGAGTAGAAGGGACCAGTACCCTAACCTGGGAGTTAACATAAAAACTCAGTATATAACAAAGTAACAAGCAAGTGACTTGAGAAATAACTAAGGGATTCAATTACAGCAACCATCTCGCCTAATATTAAGATAGGCTAACAGGAAGAAAACATCCTGATAAACAATCACAACAATCAGAAAGTCTTACTGAAACCAAAAGTCTAAGTACAATTCCATTTGAAACACTTTCAGCTGATTAATATTTACGTAGGTCCACAATTACAAAGTTATTTTATAGTCCCAAAGGAGACTGGAAGGTATTTCAGTTGCTCAACTGACCACGATTTACATGGGAAATGAAATGTTTTCAGACATTACAAACACACAAGAAACAGTAAAATGTGACTCTGGGGAAGCAGCTTAACAAAAGTTGTCCTTAAAAGAAATTAAAAACAATATTAAAGTTCTTCAATTCCTGCTTGCCTGACCTTCTAAAAGCCGCAGGTCAGGAACTCAACGTTGTCAAGAGTTAAGTTGAAAACGCTGTTAGTGGTATTTGCTTCTAACCACGCTAACAAAACTATGAGTTGGAAAGAATGCAACATTCCTTATTTCTAAAGGAAATACACAAATAAACGAGTATTTTTCATTAAGTTTAAATGAAAAACTCTTTTATCTTAAAACAAAAACCAACCCAACTAAGTAAAAACTTTGAAATTAGAAAAGCCTCAACGTGCAACTGTGGATACGACACGGAACAGGAGCCCTTTGTGGGTGGCTTACAGGGTCTACCCTATCAGACCAACACCACAAATCAAAATGCATCCGGTTTAGGTGCGTAAAGCTCCGAGTACGGGTTCTGACAGTGGACGTGCTCTCCAAGGTTTTGGAAAGAACGGTTCCTAAGCCCTTGCAGGATGTTCCTGGGGGACTCGGTTCGGCTCAGCACCCGAAGTCGGCACTTGTGCCTTTAAGTGGGAAATGACACTGATTTTCCATAACTGGCATCTCTAGCCACCTCAACCCCCTTAACATCACGCTCTGCCCGCCTCGCTCTCCGATGCAAACTCCTGCAAAACGCGTGTGACGGCCCAAGCGGCTGCCGGACTCCGAACACTCCGCGGGCCACTTCATTCTTCCTACGGGGGGCGAGGGGGTGGGAGCGAGACTGCCGAGGTCGGCACAAAGTAGAGCCTGGCGGAGGAGCCGCCGACCCCGCCGTCCTTGCCTGGATGCCGCCGCGCCCACCTCGGCTCCGGGGCGGCGAGGGCGCAGGCTGGGGTCGGGGTCGGGGATCTGCTGCCAGCGCAGGGACCCCGCGGCGCGCGCCGGGCCACGGGAGACGGCGTCCGGGGCCCGCGTGGGCCTCCCTCCCACTCTGTCCGGGCGGCCGCCCAGCCCTCTGGCGCCCAGCGCCCCCGGCCCACCTTTGATGCCGGCCATGGCGCTGACGTCGCTCCAGCCTCCAGGACCCGAGGCGGCAGCGGCCGGGAGCCCGGAGACGCACGGCAGCGGCGACCAGACAACACCCGGAAGTGCGCGACGCAGC